TTTAATTTAGATGCATACTGACTTGCATGTCAAATGCTCACAGTGGTCTTGGCATGGTCTGTGTTGCTACACCGTTGTAGCATATGGCACAGCTGACGGGACACCAGGAAAGACGCTGGTCAGGATCTGTTACAGGTTCTCTTGTGTTCTCTGTCCCTGTAGGACTTGAACACTGTGCGCAAAATATTGAATTCAACACCACCTTTCTCTCCCTTCTCACAGAAGGAGAAACTGAGACCCTGAGAGAGTCACTTTCCTAGTGTTGTGTGTCTGTCAGAGCTGAGGACAGAATTCCAGCCTTCCGAATCCCGGAGCAGCAGGGGACAGAGCATACGTGCTTCTGAGTTGTTGCTGCTTGCCGAGACACCTAGGCAGCTCCGGGACTGGGCTGTTCTCTACTGAGCTTGAGTGACACTAGCAGAAATGTCAGCTGAGCCTGCACTTGCCCTTTCAGCATTTGCAGTCTCATGTAAAGTAAACCAAACACTTCTGCATGATGATAAATGTTACAGCTGAAAAAGCAGCTGAAGAAACCTCAGGATCATGCTAGTTCAAAAATTAAACACATCTTGTGGGTTTTGAGGCAATCTGTTACGCTAAGCCACTGCAGTATTTGCAGCATCAAATAGCTGCGCAGTACCAAGGAAAACCCAGGTAGGATGCTCCTGTGGATGCCTTGCAGAAACTTTCCTGTGTTCCACAAAAGCATAACAAGGAAGGGATGCTTCTGCCGTTACATTGAGTGGAACAGAACTTTTGTCCATGTCTAAGGGTTTGATACTCAAAACTGAGTGAAGATACTAGCTGCGTTTTGTAGAAGGCAGGAGTTGCCTAAAGCTTGTACCATAACCCTTTGTGAATTGTGTTCTTTTATTGATGTTCTGGGCAGGAACTAATGGGCTGCTTTAATTTAGATTAGCCAGAAGAAGCTGAAGAAATATGAGAAGGAATATCATACCATGAGAGAGCAGCAAGCTCAACAGGAGGATCCTATAGAAAGATACGAGGTACCGCTTGCTTACTCCAGTCTGATTTAACACCCAGTACCTGCAGGAAGCTTCTACTTTGAGTCCTTTTTCTTTGAGCTGTTTTCTTTGTTTTGGGACCAGTCTTGGATACAACAGGGGAATCGGCCACATGAACATGAAGTGAATCTCTCTATATTGGCAATGTTAATCAGGATGGGGTTGTTGTGAGCCCACCTTCACCATGACAAAATGAATAGTATGAAGTTATATGTGGGCTTACGCAACTGCTTGACTAGAGCCCGTTTCTAGCACTTGTGTAACATGCTGATTGCACCAAAAGCCATGAACAGGAAGAAAATGCCTAATTGATTATAACTGCCTTCCATTTATAATCCTGCCTTCACTCCTCTACCTAATTTCAAATGATGTTTGTTATGGTAAGCATATGATTTTCTAAATATTTTATTTAGCAAATAAATATAGGAAAAAATTTTATATATAAAATTGTGTATGCATATACATAATACACTAACACACACATACATACATAATTTTATATATTTTAAGCTGAATAGTTTTACGTAGACTTCCTTTAATATCTGTCTGTGTGCTGGGAGTTGTAACAGGAGAAAACAGGAGAAAGTGTTTTTCCCAGGATCCTCCTCTCTCACCTGTTTCCAGCATGCAAATTCTATTTTGAGCCAAGAAAATCAGTACTTGTAGCAACCCCTTGGCAAGGTATTGATGGCAGAATGACACCCCTACTATTGCATTCTTCAAAATAGTTTCTGTAGCTCAACAAGTAATAGCAGAGTTATTTATACGTGGTTTCTTCTCAAGGCTAATATTTTATTTACTTTATCTGTACAATATGGCTAGCTAGTTTTGTCCTCATTGAATTTCATGCAGGTAGAGTTGTCTGCATACTTAAGATAAGGTAGGCATTTGTGCTCAGGCACAGTAAGCATTGTGTTTCACAGACAAACACCAGCAAAGACCCTTTTCTTGATTTCTTTTGTTTTGTTTCCCACAGCGTGAAAACCGGCGCCTACAAGAAGCAAACATGAGGCTTGAGCAAGAAAATGATGATCTTGCACACGAACTGGTGACTAGCAAGATTGCTTTGCGAAAAGATTTAGACAATGTAAGACGTGTTTTTAATTCCTCATTACTCCTCTCACTGGAGAGGAGATACATAGAGTATTTTTTATTTGGGTGGGATAGGATTCTTTCCTCAGTGTCCTTATGGCAGGCTGATGACATAGGCTGGTGTCTGAGGTCCACAGGAAACGGGACTGGTGACTGAAATACTAATTACGCTGAAAAGCATTTAGAGTAACTTGAGGGAGGGGAGAGGTTCTGAGCCTGTACTTGAGTAGTTGCTTTTTTCTCTGTGTACATTAGAAGAAAGTCTAGTAGGAGCTAAGTCAAGTCTTTGAATTGTCACAGAGATAACAACATGGATGCTGTATTCTGTTTTCCTTCAACTGGTTTTCTTACGAATAAGATTTCACAGCAGACGGGGTTTTGCAAAGTGCCTAATAAACTTGAAAGTCTGAGTCTGTCTGGCTCTCAGTGGAATCAGATTCTCAGGTACCTTAGGCAACTCTGAAAATGTTATTGTGGTTTCCATTTGGCTTGTTGAAATCTGCCCAGGTGAACTCATCATCCTGGGTTGTTTCCCATATCAGCAGAGCTCTCAGGAGGAAACTGGGTTTGCTTTGTGTTACAGAATTTTTTTTTTTTAAGCTTGCTGTCCCATTCTCTTCTTTACATACTCATGTTTGGGAGATTTTATTAGGATATGCTTTTTTTTACAGGACGTGCACAGACAGAAAGATACTGGCATTTGTAGTTCACGCGGTAGGCTAGAACACATTTAGTCGATCTGCTTGGGGAGATGAGGGGAAGAGTTCAAGTGCTCGTGTTTTGCCTTTCTTGCTCTGTACCAAGATAAGTGCATTTCTGAAATCTCAAAGGAAAATTACTTTTGAAAATCATACAGTGCAGGAGTTGACAGGCTTTAAAATGTTTCATCTTATCTGCTTCAGAGAATGTAAGGTTTCCCACAGTCTCCTGGAAACTTGCTGCTGGAAAAATATTCATAGTAAATGCTGATGCTAATGGGTGAATGTTGCTCTTAATGAGGTTTGGTTTATGACTTTCAGGTTTATTATGTCTACTGCTCTTTAGTATTAAAATCTGTGAATCACAGAAGTATGTTCTAGAAGCAGGGTTTTCACAAAGCATTGGTACATTCACTTCCTGTTACCTGTGCTTTTTCACTTCATTAACGATAGCTCGTAGAAGGCTGTGCAGACTGCCCAGCGGTTGCAATCAGAGGGTGGACTCCCCCAAAAAATGTACTGCAGAAGCTTTTTGTATCGGCGATTAACTGTTGTGTGTGGCTGCTTGAGCCTGTATGAGACACACTTATGCTTTTGCATCGATTTGTTTAAATGGAGAGCTGGGAGAGGAACAAAAGTAAGCAAAATCTTTGAGATACCTCATTGGATATATAATAGTCATGCCTTCAAAGACGGTAAATGATGTTGGCAGCATTTGGGTTATCGCCCAGGAGGGGAGATAGGTAGGTTTGATCCTACTTTAGGACCCTGATTAATTCTCCTAATTGGATCCTGAAATGCTAACTTTCATTCTACTAGCCAGATGTCCTGAAAGAAAAGTACCAAAGGACATTGTTTAACCCACCTTTTCTAATGCCTTCATGGCATGACTGAAATCTTGCAACCTAAAACATCAAAGCGAAGCATTTGGAAATACAAGAATTTCCTTAATATCCTTTGCACTAGAACAGAAAATAGGCTTCATTTTTCTACTGTTGTTGGACTCCCACATCCCAGTTTTCTTTAAAACAGCTTAAAAAACCGTGTATAATGAAAAGATGTTCTCTTTGCCTTTGCCATCTGTTTTAAAGGATCAGCAGGACTTTAAGGGACTAAAATTCACTTTTTGATTTTCTTCCTTTGAAGGGAATTGGTACAGCTACTTTCTGAAGATTTATATATCAGTTGAGTTATTGATCTATTTTTATGTAGAATTCATACATCTATTGGGAAGTACTGCGTTGCTGTGTATAAGACAGGAAAAGGTGTCTTAACTTGGCAGAGAGAGTTTTTGGTGGCTTATAAAGAGCCCGAGATTTTTCAACAATATGTCTTTATTCTTAAAAAAAATGCAGTAAAAAAGGATTGTATGGTTTCTGGTGGGACATCTCTTTTCTTTAAGGAGGAAAGGAGAGAGGGGTCTGACCCTTATGTTTGCTTTGGCAGTTAAGTTTTTTCATGCAGTATTTTCTGGGTGACATAATAAAGGTGGTATCACATCCATTGGTAGGTGTCTCAGAGTTCTGGGTTCTTTTTTAATGTTCTAGAGGCATTTTTCATTCTGTTTTCATTGCAAAGTTGAATGTTTGCAAATTGAACTTAGGTCTAAGCTGGTTATAGTCTTTTACCCATCTTGCACATTGTGAGCTGTTCTGTGCCTTTTGTTGGCTTCAGAATGTATTGGTCAACTTCCAGTCTGGATGAGAAAACAGAATTTATTTCTGTTATTGGATTTCTTTGGAGCAATCCCTATTCCAGTTTCGCTAAAACTAGTCCCTGAATTCAGGGAGGAGTGATGGAATGTAGTGGTATACCTCATTAATTTTGATTTGTTGCTGCTTTGCCATTGCAGATGGTAATTTTTAGAAAAATAATTTTCAGAATAAAGTTTTATTGTTATTAATAACAATGAACAGACCCTTATTAATAAGAATGTGTCCTACTGAAGCCTGTGCCCATGGCTGCCTAGCAGCATCGGTGCAGCAAGGCCTCTCTTCAGTGCTGTACTCCACTCTGTGTTTTAGGCGGAGGAAAAGGCAGATGCTCTGAATAAGGAACTGCTAATGACCAAGCAGAAGTTGATTGATGCAGAAGAAGAAAAGAGGCGCCTAGAAGAAGAATCAGCTCAGGTTAGGGGCATTTCTGTCATTTTCACATTCCAGTGCAGTACAGAAATTTAAAAAAAAAAAAGACAAGTGTGGGAAGGGCTTAATATTCTAAGTCATGTTTGTCCCTCTTCTGTAGTGTAAAGGACGTCAGCAAGGCAGAATTCTTCACTTTCCTGCCAGGTGCTTCATAGGGTAGTGAATTTTTAACTTGAAATCACGAAGGCACAGACTGTGCCAGAGATTGCTGCACAGAGAGGCAGTATAGGACTTCAGCTGTCAGCATTTTTTTTTTTTTTAATACTTTCTTCTCTTAGCTAGTCAATTTTTCTAACAATGATGGCACCAAAGTCCAGCTTTTCCTTGTCTGCATGGAGCTGAGCTACACCGTTGTTCCCTGGTGTAGAGTATAGCAGTGAGGTTAAGGAGAAGGAGGAAACATCCCTTGGTTATTTTTCAGACTGTACAAATGTATACAACCTTTACTACTTCATTTTTTTTTTTTTCCCCTGCAGCTGAAGGAAATGTGTCGTAGGGAACTAGACAAGGCAGAGTCAGAGATCAAAAAGAACAGCTCTATTATTGGTGACTACAAACAGGTAAGTACAACTTAATGATGATGTGGTTTGCTATCAAATTGGAAGACTCTCTCAGGTATTTTAGGAGATTTCTGGAAATAAGTGTAATCTGTGCCATGCATTTGAGGAGACGTTTTAGCTATTTTAAACGGGAAGTTTGTGGTTGGTTTTGCATTTTCTTTTGCCGAGATCCTGATGCTTGTGGTCAGTTCTGTTTGTCCCTGCTGTAGGTGTTTCTGGGCCATCAGTCACCACAGCCTTGGTTACAGCCTAACGTTGTTAGGCTCTTGGGCTCTTGTCTATCAAAAGTTCACCTCATTCCAAAAACCTGTTCTCTCCCAGCTTCCCTTCTTCAATCAAATGGGTAACTGCACTTAAGAAATAAAAAGATACCTTTTTCCTTTTAAAGATTTTGCTTTGGAATTCAAGCTCCTGATCATAAGGTATCAGGGGAGCAAATTCATGTATCTTTTTAGTGGGCCCATGACCTTCAAAACGTTCTTAAGTCTGCATCACACAGGTCTCGAGGAATGAGCTGGTTTTTTTACTACTCTGGCTGTCTTGCTTGGTTCTTTTGTCCCAAAGGCAACAAAAGGAGCCATGCTATTCCTAACCTTTTTTGGCTCCTTTAGCAAGGCTGAACTGCTAGTAACTTATGTTGAAACTGCACCTTTTCCTGTGGGCATAGAAGAATATGTAGAGAATGAGAATACGTACAATAAGACAACTTCATGCGGCATCCCAATTTTCCTGGCTTTCTAAGAGCCCTCAGACTATCCATGCTAATATTCCTGTAGTATTTATTTGTGCTTTAGCGTTAATTTGGGAGGAAATTTACATTTGTAAATGGTCTGGTAACATAATTTTGCTTGTCAGATTTGTTCCCAGCTGAGCGAGCGACTGGAAAAGCAACAAACAGCAAATAAAGCTGAAATTGAGAAAATACGGGTAAGAGACCAGATAGATCCACAGTCTACAATGTTTAAACCTCTTAGCAAAATTGTAACAGCAAGCACACAATTTATTTCATTACTGAAATGGTGGCTGAAAGTTCCTTAGTGAGTTACAGTTTTCGAAAGAGGATTATAAGGGGGAGATCTTGGAGGAGAGATGAGTAACTGTCAGCTCTCTCCCATGCTATATTGGTTATGTGCTAATGTTGATGCTGGGCAATAATAACTGTTAGGTTTTTTGAGGGGTCTTTTTTCTCTGGAGGAGATTTCTGTGACTGTCTTTTACCATAAAGTAACATGTGGGCAGTAGGGAGCCCATTATTGTAGCAATACGGTGTTACTAAAAATACAGCAGTGTTTCCAGAGCCCATAAATCTGGGGGTAGCTGGAGTTCCTGCTTGGCTGTGCTTCCCCAAAAGTTCCTGAGTTTGCAAGTTGTTAGTGGTCCCTCTCCTGTTCCGCTGCTCTTCCAGAGCAGAGGCAGGAAAAGGCTTTGATCATATCACCAGCATTTCAATGCAAGCATTCACAATCAGGTATTTACTTTAGCAAAAAGTGGATGACTGTGAGCATTGCCGGGAGTTCTTCAATAAAGAAGGCCGTGTGAAGGTTGCTAGTTCTGCCAAGGATGGTTCAGATGAGGACACAGATGAGGAGAAGGAAACGCTGAAAAACCAGCTGAGGGAAATGGAGCTTGAGCTGGCCCAGACCAAGTTGCAGCTTGTGGAGGCGGAATGTAAAATACAGGTAATGCTTTGGAGGTTCATTTCGTTGTCTGTGCATCTATGAATGTCTGCATTCCTAGAATAACGTGTGTGTTGTAGAGAGATTGGAACAGATCCTGTTGGTTGAAACTGTAACCTGCTATTTCCTGCATGGCTTATTTAACCAAGCATTGGGTCTGAAACTTAGTGTATGCAGACAAAATAGTTGAAGTTGCATGAACTGTATTTACCAGCTACTAAAACTTCCAGACATCTGCCTGGCTGCAGTGCAGTACTTACTGACTGATCTTCTGCAACTTCTTGGAAGAAACCCAAGCTCTGACCAAGTACTGAATCATGCATTTCTTGATCTCACAAACAATGTTAAGAAGTAACATGTGACAAATGTTAGACATGTTTCTTAAAACATGATTGGAAAGCAGTGCAGGTATTTGAGATGTCTGTGTAAAATACGACAGCATTGTTCTTTTAGCATAAACCTGGTATGTCAGTTCACAGAAACGTAAAAATTAGTTTGTGGAAAATCCACTTCCCGTGGGAATAGGTCCTTCTCAGATGGGAACGAATTACAGGGTTTGGATGTACTAAAGAAAGCTGAACGTTTCACTAAGGGCAATGACATAAGTCCTGCTTTGCTTTTCAAAGCTTTTTTTCTCCCCTTCATCAGCTTGTTGTGCTACTTTTGATTCACGTAAGGCTTGTTTAACTTCTAAAGTGGCCAAGAGATTGTAGAAGTCCTAGAGCCTTCTAACTCTCATAACCTTGTGCTGTGAATACATAAGAAATTAATGAAATTACTCTTCCATTTGCAGGATTTGGAGCACCATTTGGGTCTGGCATTGAATGAAGTACAAGCTGCAAAGAAAACATGGTTCAACAGAACAATAAGCTCTATAAAAACAGTGACTGGAGTCCAAGGAAAAGAGACTTGTTGAAAAGCAGTTCTGTCAAACACACCTTCTTAACACAACACCTTTTGTTGCCTTCCTTGGCCAGATGTTTAATTCTGTGACATGAGAGGACCAGAATGTAAATAGAATAGAGACACAGCATGTCAGGATTTCAATAGGTCAGTGATAAAGAGGATGGAAACACAAGACAGGTTTTATTGCTAGACATGGGATCTTCATACTACTGATATTTAACAGGTGATGTAGCTAGATTGAAGCTCTTCAGAGAAACACTCCATTCTGCGGTCTGGCTGGAGGCTTTTCACAGACTAGGTACGAGAACTTACCAAACCCTAATTGTTAAGTTTACATATGATAGGTTTTTTTACAGTTACAACCTTTTTTAATATTTTATTTGAAAGGAAAAGTGTCACTAACAAAGTAAAAAAAAGAAAAAAAGAAAAAAGGAAAAAAAAAAAAAGAAAAAAAGGAAAAAACAAACAACAAAAAAAGACAACTTTAGCAAGAACTACATCAGTGCCAGAAAGCAGTCCCCAGAGGTAGGATATGGAGAGTAGGAGGTGACATGTTTTGCTTTATGAATGGGGATGATTTCAGCATTCCTGTCGAGCAACCCCACTTTGTTTCAGTAGATGCAGCATCCATCTCTCTGTGTTTGGCATTTCTTTCTGTTACTAATCAATTCTATGCAACTCTGGGCTTTTTTGGCATGGGCTGCCAAACAAATTCACAACCTGAGGCTGGGAGACTTGTCTAAGTGCTAGACAAGAATAATCAGAATTCTTGGCAAATTTCCGTTTCACTTCTGTGTCATATTGTTTGATCCACATATCAACAGCGTTAAAATCCCCAACGCCAGGACTGCTAATAAGTACTAATTATGTGGATGGTCTGACATTGAATTGAGTCTTTTTGTTTGGTTTTTTGTCAGGTTTTTTTGTTTTGTTTTTGTTTGTTTGTTTTTACCCGGCTGTAGCAGGCCTTCTGTGAAGCTCTGAGAAAGCTTCCAGGATTTAGTTTTGCACATAGGTATGAATGGGACAAAGAACCAATAAACTGAGATATATATGAGGCAAAAATCACTGCGTGAGTGTAGCTGCGAGCATCTATAGCTATCCAACTTGCTTCCCTGGTAACATGTTTAGCGGTTGTGTAGGTCATTTTTCACGCTCGATGCAGTTGCACTAATAGGTGCTAAACGTGTTTGGATTTCTTATTCATTGGATTGTCTTGAGTTCTCACCAGAAAGCTGTAGAATGGAGTTTTGCACCTTGTAATTTTTTTAATTTATAATGGTTTGTGTTACGCTGAAGTGTCTATTGCATCAGTGGATAAATTTTGTGTGCAGTGTGAGTATAAGCTGGTAACAATAAGAGGCACTGGTTTGTATATAAAGATATTTGGTTTATTTTGTATTTCTACCTTTTTCTTGTTTACTGTACTAATGCTAGCTAATGTACTCTGTAACTACGGAATAGAACATGCTATGTCCAAGCTTTTTTCCTTAACTACATACATTATCTCTATTGTTTAATACCAAAAAAAAAAAATACTGTAACTCCATCAATATTAGATGCGTGGACATTGTGGTAGCATAGTTGCAGTGTGTATACTTTATGAATTGAAATATAAACTAGTAAAATTGTATAACTATTTTGTTGTTTCATTTCATTTTAACAGGAAAGTAATTAAATATTTTGCAATATAAAACCAATTCTCTTCCTAAAGTAGAAGCAGTAGCATCTGCAAGCTTCTCTAAGACTGAAACTATAGTCATGCCGCAAAGGGCTTTGCTAAAAAAGACTGCATATTCGAAGTGTTGCCAACACTGCTTTATATAATAAAATCTAGGGTTTGCTTTGAAAAAAAAGAAACTGCAAAAATGACCTTGTGCAGCTTGAGGCTTGTGACTCAGTATTTCTCAAACATGTCCCATTTAGAACATTTTTTTCCATGGCCCTCCAAATTCTGCTTGGATCTGCAAAATAAATGTAGGCTAGCTCTGCTTACCATCATCAGTAACAAATTCTGTGGGGTCAAGTGTTGTTCACATCATCTACACTACGGTTTTCTAGTCATAGCTGAACGTAGGGTTTAGCTGTGCGACTGGATGACTGCACTAATTGGGTCACAGTGCAGCGCAGGCTCCCCTAGCTGTGTGTGTTCTGCAGAGATAACAAGAAGTAAAAATATATTTTTGTCACCAAAATGGCTAAAGGTGACTCCGAAAGCAGCCCTGCTCTAGGAGGCTGTGACCACACTGTCACTTTTCTAACCATACTTTTGCTTTAAGAGAATGGCGTTATAAGGTTGTGCGTAGTCTTTGCTGCTTTGTCTTTCACAGAGGTGCATCCCTTGGTAACTTCAGCTCTGCAATTTCTCAATAATTGCAACTTTTGGAGAAAGTTTGAAGGTAAATATGGGAAGGGGGAGCAGGAGGGAAGAAGGAACAACTCAAGCCCAAAGCACTTCATCCACTTATCTTCCCCAAAGGGACTGTGAAATAGCATAGCTTGCTCTTTCCTCCAAAAATGAGGTACTTACAAGGGAGGGGAAAAGTTGCTTTATTGTTCAGATCTCTTACACTCTAAGTAAACAGTACTTCAAAATCGCATGCAGCGTATACTCCCTGTTTCAGTATGGACGTGTAACATGCATAACAAGAAACTAATTTCTTCACAACATTTTATAAGAAACATTTCATAGCCAGCTTCCACTTATTATGGATTATTTATCTACCTGAAGGATTTTGATGCTCAAAAATAAAATATTACCAATGTATTTCACATCTAACTCCATCTAAAATATCCACAGCTAATAAAAAAAAAAAAGGATCCTGTGCTGAGACGGACATCTTTTGAAGCGCAATTACTCGTGAAACACAAGGAAGCAGGTCATTTTTAAGATGAGGAAGATGAATTTGCAGATGCTTAAGACTATGAATAAGCAAGGTAAAAAAAAAAAATTGAGTCAGAGCTGCTACAAGCACAAGTATTTTACAGACTTGTAAGCGAAAAGGAATGGGTGTATTTGGTAGCATTTTTGGCATTAATAAGATGGTTAGTTATTTGCTGGCAGTCAATCACCTTTCTGTTCACATAAGCCTCTCAGCTGGTTTTGTGCACTGAACTCAAGATAAGTGCCACTCTGCTGATGCTGGGTTTTAAGTCTCGTGTGCTGGAGGCTCCAACTTCTAACGCTTTGCATGTTTGTGCTGCATCATTAAGCTCCTGCGGTCTCGTAGCGTGGTAGCTCTAGTGTTACGATCTCATTTTTGTTACAGAACTTCTTGGCTGCTCAGGGTCTGCAGCTGGAAGTGGATATTCAAGATCTATCAGAAAGTTTTACCTTTAAGCATTGCTGGTAAGCCTTCTTGAAATTTATATAACCACCTCCCGGACTTTTTTTAGCTGCCCTTCTTATCTGTGGCAGCGATATAAAGTTCCTGTTATCAGGAGGAGGATTTCACTCCATCTGTTCAACAGCTTGGCTTGCGTTCATCCAGCCTAACTTTAGACACTTCAGAGGTGCCTAACGCAAGAGCTTAATCCGGCGAGGTTTTTCAGCCCTCGGCGGGAGAGGGGACGGTGCTGCGGGCGGGTGGCTCGCCCCGGCCACGTGCCCCGTGCCCTCATTGAACAAGGAAGCTAGTGCGAGCCCACGAACTAAACTGAAAGTCCTTCTGAAATAAAAAAAAATAACCAAAATGTGGCGTCTGTGTGCACAGTGAGGATTGCTTTCTATTGTAAATCCCCCTCCCCTTTTTTTTTTTTATTGTGCAGTGTTATTCCTTCTGTTTTACCAAAGGCAATCAAGGACTCTGCATACAAAACCCTTCAAAATTTTGCTAGAATTTACTGCTGCATGTCTGTAATGACTTTGAGGAACGAGGATTTCATTTTGCTGTATTTTCTGCATGCTAATGAAATAGGACAAAGTGTAATCCTGTACTGAAGGCTTTTTCTTAGGATAATCTAGCCACGCAGCTGCAGTCCAGTCACAGGAATGGCAGGAAAGCAAAGCAAGGACTGTCAGAACAGCATGATTGCCCCTGTGAAGAAACCATATTTGTTGCTTGACGTGGGTGTAACATTGAAAGTCAAGCGTTTTCTCGCACAAGACGAGTGGAACTGAGCTGACTTTGAAGCTGAACATGCAGACGATTGATTTAGTTGAGGAGGGGCAGTACGGAGCACCCCGAATTCTTCAGGCCCCTCCTTGTACGGCTGCAAAGAGAAAAACCCCACCGGGTGCAGCTCCGCGGCCCAGGCAGGCCGGGCCGCGGCGG